GCAGAGCCATATTAATAGCATCATCTGTTGATCTATTTGCTCGGTATGCAAACTGCATGGGATCTAACAGGGGATCCGTGATGGTTTTCAGGTGGGACAACACAAGCCTTTCAAAGATTTTCATAACTACAGATGTTAGAGCAACTGGTCTGTAGTCACTCAGTTCCTTGATGGAGGGCTTCTTTGTCATTGGGATGATAGAGCGTTTGAAGCAGGAAAGAACATAGCATATCTCTAGTGATCTATTGAAGATTCGGGTGAAGATGGGGGCTGATTGGTCAGCACAGACTTTTAAGCAAGAAGGAGTTATCTTGTCTGGCCCTGGTGCTTTTCCTGGCTTTTGTCTGTGTAACAGATCTTACACTTCTTTTTCTGTTATCACCAGAGGTTGTGAACCCACTGAATTGGAGCCAGTTGTAGGAGGCTTGGCTGTTGTTGGTGTGTTTGAGATATGGGTTATGGAGATAGGTGGCTGTAGTTTCATTTCAAACCTGCAGTAAAACACATTCAGGTCATCTGCTAGTTGTTGATTTCCTTCTGCCTGGGAAGGAGGTTTGCTGTAGCCAGTGATGTTTTTAAGAGTTTTCCACATGTTTGCTGGTTCATTTGTTGAGAACTGATTTGTTAACTTTTCAGAGTAGCTTCTTTTTGCTGCTCTGATCTCTCTTGTTAATATGTTTCTGGCCTGATTGTGTAGCACTCTGTCACCTTTTCTGTAGGCTTCTTCTTTGGAACGATGTAACTGCTTAAGTTTAGCTGTGAACCAAGGTTTATTGTTACTATATATTTTCAGGTTCCTTGTTGGTACACATAAGTCTTCGCAGAAGCTGACATACGGTGTTACAGTATCTGTGAGCTCATCTAGGTCTGCAGAGGTATCTTCAAAAACATTCCAATCAGTGCAATCAAGGCAAGCCTGGAGCTTCAGCTTTGCGCCATCAGACTAACTATCCACATTAGTTCAATTTATTTTTCATGTAACATTAGTTAAGGTGCATATACTGTAACAAAATACATGGCCAAACATAAAAATATATATGCTAAAGTATATATGCATGTATAGATAATACTGAGAGATACATACAACTTATTTATTTATTTCAATATTGAGGCCACCCAATTCCTTAGTGGCTGCGGGAAGTTTGCAATTAAAATAAATGAAACCACACATATAAAAGAGAATATGGCCAACCATTAGAAGAAATCGAAGCTAAAGTAAAAGGGCTTCCATAATCAGCTTTGGAAGACAAAAAACAAAACAAAACGAATTGGGGAAGGTCATAAAGGTGAGAATCTCACAAATTTGAGGGGGGAGATATCATTTCAGAGGGCAGGTTCTGCAGCACAGAAAGCACATTTATTGGGTCCTATAAGATGACACTGACTTGATGGAAGAGGGTCCAGATGCACCACTGCTTGATTCATTCAATGTGCCAAAACAATAAGAGCTGACACTATCCTTCTTACATTTAAAATTATTACAGCAAATTATATATCCTGTTAAAATGACTTTTGAGTTGTTAATTTTCCCCTGTATTTCATAAACTAAATAGCCCCAGAAATGAAATAATTATATTTATACTATTTGTAAAAGTTCTGTGTAATATCATTCATATCCTTATAAAGGCCAGTTTCTTTATATTTTATATATTGGGACAGGGAAATAAGATATAAGAATGAATTGTCCAAAACCACCCAGTTTTGTTCATAACCTTGTCTTTACAAGATTTTTTTAAAGCTAAGAAAAATCTTTATTTCATCTGTTCTTTTTCAACATCTGTTAAATAGGATATTTCTCTCTCTTTCCTCCCTTTTCATATTCTTACCAATAATTCTTTTGGCATTTGTCTTGTTTAAATGAATTTCTTACAGTATATCAGAAGTCCAGTGCATTTGGGTATATACTTAATGAATAGAAATAAGTATCACTAGAAAGGTAATTCAAAACTTCTGCTGTCTGCATAAGTTACAATCCCACCACACTTTTACTTCATAATGGTTTAATGATATGATTAATTTCTCCTTTATGAATTAATGGAATGATAGGTGTCCTTATTTAAGGACCATTCATTCAGTGACTGTTGGAACTTGCAATGGTGCTGAATAAGTGGTACTTACTTATTCAACCCTATTGCGATAACATTGCTGAATTTTCCCCACAATCACGTGATTACCATTTGGCACCTTCCCCGCTGACTTCAACAAACAAAAAATAAATGTGGAAATTGCAAGTTGTAAGTCCTTGCTTAACAAGGGCAACTGGAACTGCCGTTGCTAAGTAGTGCAATAATAAAGTTTTTTTTAAAAAAAACTTAGGATTGCATATTCATTGTAGAATCTGTGTGTGCCATTGCAAAGATGTTGTGTAGATTATATGTTAATGATGCTATGATGTGCATGCATCATCCAGACATGTGAGAAGAGAAATTGCTTACATTAACCAAAGTATACATATAAATTTTGCCCTTGTATTTTCCAGGATAGCAAACTAAGCAATCAGTACAAGCTTTCTTAATGAAAGCTCAAAGCACAGTGTAGAAAGCACAGCAGGAGAAGTAAGTTCAAGCACAGAAATCCAACATTTAATCATTCACAACACACTGTAGTAGACCTCAGTATAGTATCATATCTGTCCTAAGCTCTTCTTGGATACTGATTCCACATCTGCAAAAGTGGAATGTGTAAGCAAGTAAGTGAAAATGATATGTGAATTCATGCGTCCTGTGGGTCTTTTCAATACTGATGGTGTCTGTAGTTCCAAGCAGTAGCCTCTTATGGGATTATAAGAATGCCATTTATTGCTGTTATTGCCAATATAAGAGAAAAGCATTTTGCCAAGGACAAATCTCTGATAGACATGAAAAAAGACAATAGTTCTATTGCAAAAGGAATATTACACATTCCTGGATGGCAAAAAGAAACTTCTTTGAGAGTAAAAATATTCTGCTTCTTCCTTGCAATTTACTCCTTATCAGGACTGTTTTACAGAAAAAGAAGAATGCTCCAAAACATGAATTATTAGACAAATATTGATTTGTTGCGTGAGAAATATCATGGTGATGTTTTACTTGAATTTATCTGTCTCTCTAACTCTGTATCTAAATAAAAAGAATCAAACTCTGTATCTAAATAAAAAGAATCAAAAAACTTAGGAAAAAAGAAAGAAAAAAGAAACCTATGTTTGTTCAGAAGTAAAGAAGGCACTGGTGGACATCATGCTTTATTAATTTTCTTTTAAAAATGAATAAAAATGCAGCTACATTAAGGAATCAGGTCAGTCACTGCCTGGAGAAAAAACAACTGAAATTCACATTTGATTCTTCAGCAGAAAGTGTTCCGGTATTGGATTCTTGCTAAACAGAAGCATTAAAGCAGTCTTCAACCTAGGACAAACTTATATTCAAATTCATTTCACCTAGGACATATTTTGGATTCACTGAACATTTAAGATAACACTCGCTTACATTTGTCCTCACTTTTAGGCATGATTGATTTAATTTATGTAGCAATTTCAGTATGTTGGTAATGAATTTTTCTTATCTTATTATGTATATGTAAAGCAGGAAATCTCTACTGTGCATTATAGCAACTGCTTTCTTTCCTGCATAAACACTCTTCTGCACTAATTCTTATTCTAGCAAGCTAATTCTAAAAATTATGTTTTTCTATTCCTTTTTGGACTCATTTAAATAAAAAGCAAGCACTGGTATTTATTTGTCTATTACTTTTATATCCCAGTATATATTTGTCACAGGAGAAGGTCAGGAATTACTTGTATCATGAGCCGGGTGGATTAGCCCTGGACTTTTACTCTAGGAGAGGGAATAAAAAATTCCATGGCTTGTGCTTATGTGAAAACTTCATAATTGGTATACAAAAAGCAGAAACTAAAAATTCCTTTATGTCAGCCCCTTTGAAATTAACACAGAATCAAAGATTCTTTGAATCAAAGATTCTTATCTTCAGATTGACCAGAGCATTCTTAATCAGCAGTTCCAAAATTGTTGGAGTCTTGCTTGGCTGGGATAAAGCACATTGTTCTAGATCCAGCCCAGGGGTTTGGGTTACAGGTACTTCTGGATTTGGAAGTTTTATACCAATATGAGTACTTAGGGCTTTATTCCAAAGCCGTATATGAAAATAATGTACTTTAATAACAAGAGACAAAAATTAATTCAGATCAATGACCTATCAGGCTTAGCATTCTGTTCTTACAGTAATCAAGTTCTCTTAAGGGAAACTTACAAGCAAGTATGAGTTTGGTTCTTTCTCATTGCAGTATGCAATTTTTCTTCAAAAGTGTGATTTCCTGATCCTGGAAGGAGATATTTTTAGTATGTCCAGAAACTATTTGTAGCAGTATCCTCCATGAATCTGTCTAGAGTGCTGAACTGTAATATATCTATTTGTATAATTCCATATGTGCTGTGAGAAGAAATTCTCCCATTTCTTTATGTGACTCTAAATTTTAGTATCTAAGGGAAATTTCACCAATTTCATATGTAATTCTGTCATGTTGTCTTTTACTCAACTAAAAACGAACAGGGCTTGCATAGTAGAAATTCCTTGTGATCTTAATACTTAATTTCATATAGCAAGTGTCTCATTATTAGTCTCATTTTTAAAATGCAATAAACAAAGATACCCAACATATTCTGTGAGATTGAATGTTAGCTGTGTCTTTTGCTTTCTGAAGTAGAATGTAGGCCAAAGTTCAGCATGTTTAACAGTAACTTTATGAATACAATAGAATATTTTTCGCTCAGGGTTGAACTGTTGGTTCCTTCCTCTTTGAACATAGTTGTTTTCTAGCAGATGTTTCTTTACCAAACTAGTACCAAGCTAATAGCATGGGTGATGTTTCCTAATTTGGTAATGAAATGTTTATAAGAAAACAACCAAGCTCAGAGAGTACCAGACAACCCACTGTAACTTTTTATCATAAGCCAATAGCTTTAATATACTGATTATTAATATCTTTATTTTAAATACCTTTTTAGGTACCCATGTCATGGAAGGCTCAGGAAGAATGCTGGTTACTGCAGTGGGAGTTAATTCTCAAACAGGCATCATCTTTACTCTACTAGGTGCTGGAAGTGAGGAAGAGGAGAAAAAAGATAAAAAAGGTACAAATTCATCCAAAATATTCTCAAATAATATCTGTCTTTATAACATAGGCCTAATATTCAAATTTATTATATAGGAATACTTGAGTCCATGTTACTGTAATTTAGTCCAGTGAATTCAGTCCTGATTTTTAAGGGCTGTGAGTTGCCTGAACCATGTATGAATTGGATATTTTGAACATTTAGTATGGATGGTTTAAAATACGAGAAGGGAATGTGATCTTAAATTAGCTATAGTTCTTTGCAAGTTTCATTCTGTATTAACATACCCCAAATTCATTACAAATTGAAGTTGTATAAAGAATGATACGTTCATTGCTTCATTAAAAATAAATTATCACTATAATAATTCTTTCATATGGAGAAATTAAATTGTAATATCAAAATATGAAAAATAAATTGAAGTACATTTAACTTTTTAATTTAAACCCTACTTATTTAAAGTTTTATCATATTTTATTGCTCATGATTTTTATTTTAGAGGTTTTATCTGCTTGCCAGGAGCATAGAGATGAAGAGTCCTGTGTGTTTCGTAGCTTACATGAATTAGTTTAGGTTTGCAAAACAAGTTGGATTCAAATGTTCAGTTCAAGGAAAAGAAGAAGGATTCCTTCATGGATAAATGGTTATGTGATTCTAATTCTCCTTCTATGAATAGAAAATGCTTCTATCCATGGAAATGAACATTTAGACCTAACAAAATATCTACAGGCAAGCTAAGAATGTTTCTCACATGGCATGTTTCTTGGAAAAAAAAGCTGATTCTGTTCCATGGGAAGTTATGTGACAATCACTTTAATATCCAGCCCAAAGAGCCAAATCTTTTTACCCTAAAAATAAAGCTATCCCTGAGTTGACTATGTGGATACAACCATGCAGTTTCCTTGGCAACACTACTGAAGGAGTTCACCATTGCTTTCTTCTGGGATTACTATTATTATTTTTCTTCCCAGTCTCTTTAAACTACTGTAAGTTTTGAATAAAATAATAACTTACACTACTGCTTGAGATTTGGTTACTGATCTTCTTTACAACTATCCAGTGAGTTTCTCATTTAAATATTTTTCTTCTTTATCACTAGTTCATTAATAAATATATTATTGAGAAACTCATTCTTCTTTCATGAAAGTCTGTTCTGTGCCTATTACGGACAGTCTTAAATACACTTGAACTATAATGCCCCTGTGGTTAGATCATCTATAAACATCTATTTTTGTGAACTATTTTATGTTGAATCCCAGTTTTAGTATTTCTATTCAGAAACCCTTTTGAGATTGCTGGATCTTCGTCCTAAGGAATTATAGCTTCCTTACACATAAAGGAGAATAAAATTATTTTAAAAGCAACAACTATAGTATACTATATATACACCTATGGCAACGTACAGATCTTTAAACATACATGTACATACATACATACATACATACATACATATAATGAATATGTATATGCATATGTATATAATATATATATATATATATAAAACATGTGGTGACAAGTGGCAGAAAAAATGCTTCACTTCAGAGCTAACAGTATTCTATACTACTGTAAGTACTGGCCAGATTTCACCAATAATTTCTTACTGATTTTGTTTGAATTTAAGAAAATATATTCCAGAGTTCCTAAACTTTAACTGAAAATAAATACTAATGAAGAACAGTTCCCACAAAACAGAAGATCATAAATTTGTTAACAGATTTATCATTTCTTGTGTTAATTTTTCTAAGAACAATGTCAGGATAGAACACTAGTATGAGTTAGAAGGCAATTTTTTCAAAAAGTATGAGTGAGTGACTAAGACTTACTGCTTAGGCATTTTAAATAGAAATAGATAAAAATAGAACTATATAAAGAACTAAGCAATCTTACTTGATTTAGTTTTCCAGTATCTGCCCTTTTTGCTATGAGAAGAATCTCTTTATTTCTCACAAACTATTATCTTTTAAGCATAGTTCTCCCTTGTCCTGTTTTAAATAATAATTTGCCAGTTTACTCTGTCAGCTGAAAAAGAGGTAAAAAAATAGGAGTCACATTGTTCATATAACTTTCATACGACATTATTACATGTCAAATAAAGCATTTAACAAGCTTTTAACATTCATTGCTATGAATGACTGCAGGTTCATTCAAGGAAGCCTCCAATAGCTGTTGTCCTGCAAGTACTTCTGTCTACACATCATTTCTTTAAATAGGACATCAGTATGCTTCCAGCATGAAATTATGAAAATGGGAGTTGATATACCTGCTCATTAGTTTATGTCCCTGTTCTCTAAGGACATTATGCATTCATTGTATGTATGTTTGAAGTTTCCAAGAGTTTGTGTTTGTGTTTCAGTTTCCTGTAGTATATGTCTTTCTTCCTCATTAACATTTTGTAAAAATCATCATGCAAATATGATACAGGAAGATGGGCATCAGCTTCCAGAGAGAATAAGAAACATACTGTTCGATAGGAGAAAAATTAAGCTTTTAATGGGACTCTCCTCCGAATGGCTGGAGAGAGAAAAAAAGACTTGAGTGAATAGTTCAGAAAAATCCTTTTGCTATTTAATTTGAATGAAACTAAATAATAAATTTGTACTTCTTTTTATTCCCATTTTTATCAATTGTTTTCTGGCTGTATGGCAAATCTTTGGAAAAGTCAGCATAAAAATATGAATTTGCCATTTTTAAATTTTCATTTACATTTTGTTACATGTTTTGTGGCACAGCAAAACTAATAGAAAGATGAGATGCCTGGAAATTGGATAAATAAAATGCATGCACAGAGTTTTAAGAGCTTCCTTAAAGCAGGAGTATAAACTTTATCAGCCATGATCACCAACCTTATCTGCCAAGAAGAGGGTGATTACAATGGAATAAACAGACTAGTTTAGAATTTAATGATGATCAGACCACATCCCTATCAAGTATAATACCCTACATGCCATGATGTACAATGGCCTACTTCCCAAACTGTTTTCTCCTGTTGTTCCTAAGTAGATGAAACTATACTGCTTATTGACTTGTGTTCCAAAAAAATACCATTGTTTCAAGACATGTAGACATGAAACTCCAGTAGCCTTCCATATATGCTTTTGGTTGTTGTCACATCTGTTTTTCAGAAGATCCAGTAACATAATAATCTAAAGAGTAAAAGAACTTCTTTAATGATCCCAAGTTTCACAATATTCTATCCCAATATTCACAATATTTTGTCCCAAGATGGACTATTATCTCTGTTCACACAGATTTCCCCCAAAATATTCCTACAAATATCCCGACTAGGTGCAGGAACCTCAGCTCAACAGTTTAGGTTTTAGTATTATGGGGCAGGCAATCTGTCCTTTTAAAAAGCCAAAAATATCATGCATGTAATTCATATATAAAAATTAGGCATCAGAATAAATATATCAAAACATTTAATAAACATAATACACTTATTTTAATTTTGTTTTAAAACAAAGTTAAAATCTATAAATGTTTCAAAACCCTGGGCTCGCTGTTCTGATAATATCATTATGTCTTCTGCTATCTGTCTGTGATTAAAAATAGACTTGAAAATGTGGAGCCCAAGACAACAAAAGGATGTGCCTATTTTGGAAGTTGATAAGAATGAATTTTGGCAGGGATTCCAGCATGCATTCTTAATTTTAAATATTTAGAACTGGAATAGATAAACTAAGGATTCAATCTCTTATCTGTTAAATCAGATGCTGGTCTAGATATTATTTGCATGACATTAAAAGGAAACTAAAAATAAATATAGAAAACAAGAAATTTTCCCTTAACATTTGCATTTCTCAATGCAGTATGTTTGAAAAGATCAACCATAATAGAAAACAAATAAAACATAGATAACAGCAGAAGAGACTACTTCAGAAAAGGTTTTCATGATGGATAATTAACTCAGTTTCAGTGCAGCTTCACTTCCATCAGTACAAAATCAGTAGGAAACTTTCACTTTTTTTGGGGGGGGTGTGTGTAAGAACATCTTGCTTGTCCTGTTTTTATAAAGAAAACTGCTGACAATTTTTGGCTTGTGATTTATCTCCTGTCATCATCATCTGTAAACATCAAACAATGTTATAATGAACTTGTTTTTTCTGAAACAAGACTATAAAGGAAACATCGAACATCATTAGTGGATGTTCCATGGAGTTTTCAAAAAACACTATCAGGTTTAGCACTGAAAATGGTTCATTAATAAATCAAGGGTTTTAAATAGGGTATTTTTCAGATGGATTAAGTATATTAATTATGATTATTGTGATATTTTAGTATAGTTTAAAATATAATCTATCATTTATAGATAGATGTTTTTCATGAATGCAGAAATTTTTAAAATAACTTTTCCTTCAGTTTTTTTAAAGTAAAATAAGAATGTCTGCATAGTGGAACAAAGGCATTAGAAGTACTATGTAAAATCGGTTTCTCACCAACTTTGTTAAAGTTTGTTAACCCTGTTAAATGTCTTTCACATTTCTTTTTATATATAATATTCCATGTATGAGTTTTTGTTCTCCACTTCAGTAACATTCTTGTAATAGCATTCATTTCTAGACATTATGTTGCTTACTTTAAAACAACTATGTTTTGAAAAAAATAAATAAAGCCACATTAGTCCATAAATGTTTCTGTCATGTGAATGTGTTCATATTATTATTATTATTTTTCTTTTTTCTTTTATTCATTATTACTCAGTAGATTCTTCCCATTCCTCCTTCCATCCTCCTTCAACTACAGATGGGGCAGCAAGTGCAATTGCCACTGATAATGCAAATACCAGCTTAGTCAATGGTACGTTAAGAAAACCGGGATTGTTTTTACTTGAACAATTTCTCTCAACTCTGTCAGCTTCCCTCTTTCTTTCCTGAACTGCACAGATGTGGGATGTGCATGGGGTTATTGGGTGAGAGCGCCTATTGTACTGTAGCTTATAAGAGATGCCACACAGCCAACCACTTTATAGCCAGCCAAATTGGTCTTTCTCACTCAAGTAACACTGGGACCACAACAAGTAGGAATCTAGGGATCTTTTCAAATCAGACTCAAGTAGGAATTAAGGACTTTTACTTTGAATCAGATTTTAAAGACCATCTTCAAGTATATTTCAAATCAGTTTTCTCCTTGCAAAGGTGTTCAACATCAAACTGTTGTTTCCATGTTTCCCAATCCATACTTGAAAGATGGCATGATTGTCTATTTCGTTTCTCATTCTATTTTTCCAAAGTGGCACTCTCATAAGCATTCATGTAGCTTTGGGAAAACAATCTTCCTGGGGTCAGGAATTTGGCTTAAGCACAACTAGTAGTATTAATGTACTTCGTTGTGTTGTCCCACCAATTTTTCTCAGCACCAAGTTAAGCATTTTCCATTGATTATGATGCTAGCGTAACATATTTTTATGAACTATCCATGTGGCTTGAATGTGATTTCATGCATTTTTCTTCTTTGAACAAAAACATCTTCAGTTTTGAAATTTGGAATGTGCCTTTGACCAGCTTCTTGTCTCCATTTCTTAGCATGTTCATATTATAAATTCCATATAAGGAAATACATTTAAGTGTTGATGGGGAATTTTAATCTGAGATTTAGATAAAATATTTGTATACTGTTGAAATATTTTTGTTATATTCATTTTATTTTTTGGCATCAACATTATTGCTGATATTCTTAATAATCGAAACATAGATCCATAAACCGGATATGGATCTAATTGGATTTACCAGAGGCAAAAAATAGGGACAAAAATTGTAAGTATAGATCCTGTATTTGTCTTCAAGCAGATGTTTCCTCTGCCTCAAAAACAAAAATGACAAAAAAGGAAGACATTCAAAGCATTAGTTTCATTTTAGTCATGAGATGTAAATCGTAAGTTGAATGCTTAGGTGGTACTAGTATCAGATTATATCCACTGTTATAGGGAGTAGTTCCCATCAGCTCTGAAAAGGAGAAGATATAGGAGATTTCTGTGTGTCTTCAGCTGGTAAGCTGGTGGCTTGGCAGATGCAAACATTACAAAAGTAAAACCAGATTATTATTATTTTACTATTTAAAGTTAAATAAGTTAAATTCTATAATCACACCTACAGTTAGGAGGAATTAGACTCTCAAAACATGTAGTTTCACATTGGATAGTATAACTTTTTATCTTATAAAATAGGTCCCATCCTGGACAGTTAAACATATATAAATATATAAAAAGCATATATATAAAAACATATATAAATATATAAAAAGCAATCATATAGACTTATGAGGGGGAAAAACCATACCAAAATAAAACTGGTGATAAGCAGCCAGAAATGTAGCTATTATATAAAGTTGATTTATCATATTAATTTTAAAGTTTATCCTTCAAGTCAGTGTTTAATCTTGGCGACTGGCTGGACTAGTTGTTGCAATTTTCTTGACAAGATTTCAGAAATAGTTTATTCTTGCCTTCTTCCTGTGACTGAGAGTGACTGGTCGAAGCTCATCCATGTGGTTTTGGGCCTATGTCTGGTTTCTAACCTGGTGCTTAACCATTACACCACCTTGATTCTCATTTATGTTTGTTGTGTTATGTTGTTTTGTGTTGTATTATGTTAATTATAGCAAGAGGAAGAAGTGTGAGGAAATGCTATTGTGATAAGTGCATATTTTGAGAAAAGCTCTGCCTATTTTAGTTCTTCTTTGAACTTCATGTCAACCTTAATGAGTTCATTCTAATTCTCCCCTGGATTGTGGAGTAGCAGAAGACCTTGGACAAACCTGAAATGTGTGTGATTTAAAACACATTACAGGCTTCTTTGCAATATTCTATATTTAAAATATTTACATCAGAATAGGACATTTTGGCACTGACCCTTGACCACCTTCACCCCCAGCCAACCACCTCAGCCAATTTAAAGCCAGTTTTCCTTCTTCGCTGGTCCAATGGGTCCCTGTTTCTTTGCATCTGGCCCTTCATCCCTGCCCATTTGTCCAGACAACTTTGGTTGCACTGGGCAAATAGCCCCAAGCCAATGGGTAGTGGGCGACAGCTCTGGGGCTGGGGAGGGGGTGACTTAGGTGGCTGGAAGGGGATCAGCATGTAAAACAATCAGTGACAGGCTGGAGGAGAGAGCAAGAGGTGCAGTGGTGTGTGGCTCCTGACACTGTGGGGGAAAGAGTGATGGCATGTTGGGAGTGCAGCCAAACTAGGCATCAGGCCAGAGTCCAGGCACAGAGGCCACAGTGGGGTGGTGGTGGTCAATATGGGAAACTGCACCTGATCCTGCCAGCCTGACACCAAATGGGCAGTTCGGTTGTCATCTCCTTCCCCCTCGCAATGCCAGCGACTATGAGCCCCCATACCTCTTGCTCTTTCCCCCAATGTGATGACCCGGAGCATAGCACAAAAGCAACACAATCAGAGAACAGGTCTAACCCCCCTTTATTGCTCCAACTTTGCCCCCAAATGTTTACACATTCACTACAAGTCCTGGAGCAAAGTTCTCACACGCACCTTCAGAAGCCTCTGGTTCTGAAGCTTCTGGTTGCAAGTAGTTCAATAAGCAAGGTTAGCCACACAGCAACCAGGACCAGCAGTCCAATAAGCCAGGTTATCCCAAACATTAACCAAAGCCAGCAGTCCAATAAGCTAGGTTAGCGAAACAGTAACCAGAGCAAGAAGTTTAGCGAATCTGGAAAACTGGCAAGCCCCACAAAACAGAACACAGCAATCTCCAGATGTTGGCAAGTGCTCATGAGGCTCCACAGATTCAACACTTGTTCTGGACAAATGTCCCTCTCACCGGCACCTCCTTACATCTCAGTCCCTAGGTATGCCTTGTGAAAGGGGGCGGGGCACTCTCCTCTCTGGTAGCCAGCTCAGTCAGCGTTGATCTCGCTGTCTCTCTTCCCTCCTTGCTCTCGGATCAGGAGGTGGTAGTCCTTGCTCTTCTCCTGAACTCTCCCTGTCTGCAGGCCTTAGTAATTCAGAAAAGCCTTGCCTAGACAGACTCTGCCCTTCCCCAGTTTCCTCCAAGGCCAATGGAGCCCCTCTTTCAATCTCTGTCAGCTCTTGTTCCAGCTCATCTTCCCCCACAGATTCAGACTCTGACAGGAGCACGACACCCAGCCTGCCACCAATCCTATTGCATGCTGCCCCCCCCCAGCCCCCTTGGTCATCCCCTCAGCACCTTTGCTACTGCCCAGTGCAGCCAAAAGCCTGGGTTAAACTGTGTCTGGCCAAATGGGCAGGGATGAAGGGCTGGGGCGGAGGGCCTATTGTCAGTGGAGAATGTCCAGTGGAGGGCCAGCAGAAGACAAAAGCTGACTGTAGATTGGCTGAAGTGAATGGCTGGGGGTGGCACAGCCAAGGGTCGATGCCAAAAAATCCTAGACCCTATTTACATCCAGCTGCTTAGGAGAATGTACCACAAACTAGTTAAAATATGAAGCTCTGCATAACCATGGAATATTTGAAAAATCGCATCCACAGGTTCTCAGTGCTTTCGTCAGTACAACAGAAGCAACATTATGGAGTTGCATATTGACAATCAAATACTATTTTTAAATACTAGTGTTTAATTCTCTTTAATACTACAATTGTTAACAATAAGCATTGTTAAGGATTTTCTGCAGGGAAAGGATTCTGTCATTTTTTTTTCAGATTAATCTATCCTCATAATATTTTTATATCTATATGGATTATATTGGGAAGGTCATATGCACGAATCAAAGATCCAGAATATTGTTGCATTGGTCTGTACTGTGTTGATCATGTACAGTATTTTCTTGTGGATCACGTATAAGATTTGTGCAAAATGCTATGCTGAAAAATTTATTAAGACTTGTGTTCATTTAAATTAATTTGTATATGGCCAAGTCTTTTACTTTTCTCTTTAAAACAATTATTGTGTAACTGTATCAAAATTCCTTTATAACTTCCAGTTGCTTCAGAAGCAGTTTACATGGGCTAAAAATGTGTCTATGCTGACAAGTAGAAATATTATTTGAGAAAAGCAAATCTAAACATTTCTTAGTTTTTGCATTTGATTACTAGTTAATAGGGACAGTGCATAGACTTTTTCTAGTTTTATACATGCTAGACTGCTACATTTCATCTTGTTGAATCTTACTGATTTTGCATGGTACCTTTTCAAAACTGGGAGATTAATTTTTACTCTTAATCACAGCAAACCTAGAAAAAAATACCCTAGGTGTATCCTGAAATTACAGCACTTGATAAAAATCTAATGCATGTTTCACAACAGCTACCTTTTTTTTAGTGGACTGTCTTCTCAGTTTAAAGTTTTAGAAAATTTCAGACCCTGACATTAATTTAAAAGCTATTCTCGTCAAGTTATCAAAACATGAAACTCTTAAGAGCAGTTCATAAATCATCTGCATTTAGGACATGCAGAGATCTTGCTGTCTGATGAAAACCTGAATGATTTATTTCCTGACAAGTGTACTACTGTCCTAAATGGCTAGCATAATTTAGATAGAGAATGTTTGTTTTATTGTTTTGTTTTTAAAAGGCATGTGCTTGATTATTTGAATGAACCAAAATAAATCAGGAATTGAAAACTGTTCCTTCAACTGTTGCTGAACTGTCATTCCCATGACTGTCCACTATTCAGGGATACTGAGATCATTTAGTGCTATCTGAATAGCTACATATCTGATCCAGAAACTGGGCTTTATTGATGAAATACAAGACAAAGGCAAGAGGCAGATTGGAGGAGGATAATAAGCAACATGATGGTGATCATGGATACTACAAAGCAATAGACGTGAAAGGAACTGAAAGCAGAATGTGTGTGTGTGTGTGTGTGTGTGTGTGTGTGTGTGTGTAAAAGAGAGAGAGAGAGAGAGACAGACAGACAGACAGAACCACACTTTTCCTTTCTTATGTTTCATATTGGCATGGTTTCAACAGGAAGAATCCTCTGAAATGGAAAAAAAAATAATGATTCATGAATGTTCATGAAAACAGCATTCAAAGCTGTAATTATTTCAGAATTAAGTAAGTCTTAGTTTTATTCTAAGAAAGCATATTCTAGAATCTCCTGGAGGTAACAAGATGAGACCTCAAAGGAAAAATAGAACTAGGAACACTTACCATTTAAGCAGATTGACTGTCTACAAAAGAAGGAAAACTAGGAACTTTGTGATGGGATTTATTCAGCAAACTGAAAAATAAATATGAGATCTAAGCCACATGAGCATTGTAGGACCAGGCTTCCAGCTGACAAAGAGACTTAAGAATCAATAAGCTGGTTTTGATTACAAATCTTAGTATTATAATTATACCTTTAAGTCATTATTGACTTCTGGTGACTGCCTGGATAAGTGTCTGCAGTTTTCCTGACAGGATTTCAGAATTGGTTCACATTATCTTCTTTCTAGGGCTGAGAAAAATAACTAGCCCAAGGTCACTCAGATGGCTTTGTGTCTAAGGCGGGCCTGGAACTCACAATCTCCCATTCTCTAACCTGATACCTTAACCATCACACTAAATTGATTGTCTGTTAGATTCGATTCGATTAGATGATCAAGTTTTTCTCTGAAATTTATGTCAATCTTAATCAAATTCATCCTAATTCACCCCTGGATTAGCAAGCAACAGAAGATGACAAACCTTTCCAGGTCCTTAAAATACATTACAAACTCCTTTATAATATGATATATTTAAAGTTGTACAGAGAGCTTTCTAAAATCTGGTTACCATAAGACAGTCAGTATAGGAACTTCTGCATAACTATGAAACATTTGAAAAATGCACTCATAGGATCTCAATTCTTGGACAGAATGACAGAAGAGAGTATATGCCTCTTTGGGGCATTATGGAACCATGGATCAGGGGCAGGGTTTGTGTCATGCTGCTGCTTTCATTGGTCGATCGCCCTTTGCTTCCCCCTCCCCCCCCGCTGCTATTGAAAAAAACCTGTTTGGATAATTTGGAATGATTAATTTAGGTGCTGAGTTATACAAACCATCCTGCCTTAAAATATGTATGATTGTTATTAATACATAATTCATGGGAAGTCTTCAGTGGCAAATGAATTAATTTAGTTGCAAAGTTTTGTCCAGGAAGATCATTTGTGCGTATAAATATCTCAATGGGCAATACATTGTGTAGTGAGAACAATCAACCAATGGAAAAACACCTTGCCCTCGGAAATTGTGGGAGCGCCATTACTTGAGACTTTCAAGAAGAGATTGGACTGCCATTTGTCAGAAATGGTGTAGGGTCTCCCGCTTGGGTTGGACTAGATGACCTACAAGGTCCCTTTCAACTCTGATTATCTGTTAACTGTTAACATTTTATTTAAAACATGATCATACTTTTTATTGCTTTTTAAATTTAAATTTTGTCCTTCTCATGCTCTTTCTGTGTACTGATTGTTTATTGTGCGTTTTGTTTTTTGTTTGTTTGTTATTTGATTTTTTTTGTCTGCTACAATTTTCATCATGTAGGCAAAATGCAGGATGGGAATATGGAAAACAGCCAGAATAAAGGTAATGTTCTTTATATCAAGGGAGATTGTTAAAATTACTTTACAGAGCAAAATATTAATGAAGTTCAAATTGGGAATTGGGTTTGGGGTAAATACCAAGTATTCACAAACTGTCAGTCTTTCCTTTCACTGAAGGTGTGTGCGTAGGGTAGGGAGAATGAAAAATTTCATCACTGGAAATTAGGCTATTTAGAAGCTCCTGACAGTTTTGTGATGTAAGTATCAGTGCTATTAGAAAAAATAATGTATGGTGGATAAGACATAAAAATGACATTCTCATGAAAATGGCCAGATCAGGCATATTTATGTTTTGTATTGTTACAGTAAAAGAAAGTGTAGAAAAGCAATTCATCTAAAGCAAGAAGTTTAAAAAATGGTAGAGTTCCAAAAAGTAGCTTGTTATTACAGAAGTCTGTTGCTTGTGGTCTTCTCATGTCCTTAATAATTTCATATATTTACTCAGGTATGTTACTTAGTGAAAGGATTAGCCCTACAGCTGTGATAATCTTGGTCTATACAAACAACACAGATACGCATACATACACAAACACACACACACACACACACACACACACACAAACATGCACATGCATGCATACAGTTTGGGACTGAAAGACTTGATTGCATATATTCAGTTTCCTGAATTTTTCAGCAAGAATGTGACACAGCAATATTTCCTTTATCGTTTGTCTGTTCAAAATCTGTATGTCTAAATTATCCTTTTTAAACCAAAGAAGAAAATATAAATAAATAAAAAAACAGAAATGCATATTATTTTGTTGATTTTTTTTAACTGTAGAGCCTTTTATTAGGATTTGTTCGTTGATTGTATGCATCCAGAATCACAGTTGTTCTAGATGGGCAGCAATATACTGTACATTTCTTAAATACATACATGTAAAATTATAGAATTAGGAAATGATTTGGGTCTCACGAATCTGGGATTGTTTTTCAGTTATTTCCATCAATCCCCAGTGTGTATGAATAAATGTGGGAAATGGAGACTAACAAAACATCTAGTAGATATCAGATTACTTATCTCTAACCTAACCCCGCTCTCTGATGATAAAGTGAAGTTTTACATTTATTGTAAAAAGTAGTAAAATATATTTTTATTTATGTATGATTACTCAGTCTGTAGCTGAATGCATAGATTAACTGCGTAGATTAATTTGTCCAGGCTGAAAACAAAGTAGCAAAAGATCTTATATCCAAAGTTCATTAAAGTATGAAGAATCAGTAATGGTTATTTATAATACTATTAAAATTATAATCCCAATTCTTAGTTTTTTAAAGGAATGTATAATCCCCCCAAATACTGCTTTGTATTTAAGCCAAACAGCAGGATGGGGCAGCTGCAATGGAGATGCAGCCACTCAAGAGTGCTGAAGGTGGAGAGGGAGGTGATAAAGACAAGAGAAAAGCCAACATGCCCAAGAAAGAGAAATCTGTCCTCCAAGGAAAGCTAACTAAATTGGCTGTCCAAATAGGCAAAGCAGGTAAGATACACACTGATACTGTATATATATTAAGTGAAAAACTGTATTAGTGCTCTCAGTTTTGATGTTAGATTTTTAACATCAGTTTGCAGAAAACTGTCTTAGCAAATTTGAGAGAGAAATACACCAACACTCATTTAGATACTATTAATTCACAAGCGCTGCTAAATCAAATATGTTTGTTTGGTTTTAGATTGATATGTAAAGAATAAATATGGTTTGTAATTATCATGATGTGTAAGTTCAAACAACTTTGGCTTATTAATCATCATCAATCCACAGTTTACATCAAATCTATTCTTACTGTCAACAAGAGAGAAAGAAAGAAAAATATTCTTTCTTTTCTTCCCTATCACATCTGGAATGTGCAATTATAATTCTAACTATTCTAATATTTTATCTTTTATTATTGCACAAAAATGGGTCAAATTAGCAATTGACCATAGCAGGGATCTGCAACATGTCCCAAATTTGAAATAACCTTTCTCTGTTCAAAACAGGTTATTTCAAATTCAAAGCAAACAACTCTCACAATAAAATGATACACAGTTCAAAGAAATAAAAATCTTGAAGGCAGCATGGAAACATCAATACCCCATTTGATACGAGTGTAGCATTTTTTCTCTCAACACTGTTCAACTATTACAAAGTCTGCACTACTATTACTGTTAATCTTCTCATCACTCCTTATCATCCATCCTCTCCCACTTGTGACTATATGACTGTAACTTTGTTGCTTGTATCCTTACATTTATATTGACTGTTTCTTAGTATGTTTTGATTGCTTATTGTACCCTGTGACTATCATTAAGTGTTATACGTTATAATTCTTGACGAATGTATCTTTTCCTTTATGTATACTGAGAGTATTTGCACCAAGACAAATACCTTGTGTGTCCAGTCACACTTGGTCAATAAAGAATTCTATTCTATTCTATTCTATTCTATTCTATTCTATTCTATTCTATTCTATTCTATGCACTTTTAAGGAGACACTGTACCAAGTATATATAGTGGAAAATAATTTTTAAAATTTCTGAACTATGCTAGTTGTAATAAACCATTATTCCTGTATTCTTGCTGATGGTATGACTTTTCAGTGACCCTTAGCTGCATATATCTAACAGTGTTGTCTTTATTTCTACAAATTAATACATTGTCTATCACTTTTCATGGTCAAAACTTGAAATGACTAGAGTAATTTGGTTTAAATTTAGCAGTTTGTATGTCACTTTGAATATAAATATGCAAGCTAATTACATGCTTTGTTGAAAAATGTATGTATGATTAAACTACAAAGACCAAAGGTGCTGTAGGAAGGTTAACATTCTGATAATGAATAGATAAAAACCATTTATTTTCTTTCTATATTAAACTATTATTTTCTTTCTGTATATTTACTGTTTGTGATACATTCAGGAAACGAAGATATAATTAGAATAGGTGCAAGCAAATAGACATATGCCAATAGATCTCCATGCCATTGGCAATTTAATATAAAGTGTTAGGAGAAGGAAGGCAATTCACCTATTTCCATACAAGTCACATGGCATTCCAGCATTTACTAATTCATCATTATTAACGATGTGGGAATTGGATCACCAAAAAAATATTCACTGTGTTTGAAGCGGTACCCCAAATTCCAAGTTATTGAAGAACATTCAAAAAAGGGAAATTCCTTATCCCCTTTTCTAACAATTTTCCGTACTGAAATTCCTGATGGCTAGTTCAATCTTCATCCTTAACCCTAGAAACCTCTGACATCTGAAATCAGTTACATAACTAAATCCACCTTTCTTGCCTTCATTTTTCTTCCATTTTATAGGTATTTATAACCCTCCTCATAATCCTTCCTCTAAAACAGGAGTGTGTCATAATGGCGTCATTATGTGATGTATCACAACTTTTCCCTCCCTTCATTAAACCAAGTATGGATGTGGCCAGCGCATGATGCATCCTGCCTGCAGCCCACGTTTGACAGCCCTGCTCTAGAACCTTCTCTTTCTTTTCCCCATTGCCTTTTCAACACAAAAAAATCCCCTCCAAGAATAAGAGAAAAGCATTACAGCATTGATGGAACTATTTTATACTAAAGGCTTAAATTGTTGTATCTTCTGATGTCCCAAAGAAAGGCTAGTAAATTACTTGGATGTATCCAATCTGACTTCATTTAATTTTTTGTTTGTTTGCAGCCCGTGTTGTAACCAAATAGCTCTGGGCATCTCTGTCATTCATATATGGCTAGGAAGGTTCTATTCTGATGTAATATATAAAAGAACAGATTGTTTTTTTAAAAAAAGATGATTGTTACATCACACACACACACACAAATTATTTTTACAATAAAAATATATATATTTGTCTCTTCCAGGTTTGGTAATGTCAGCAATCACTGTCATCATTTTAGTACTATACTTTACTATTGAAAACTTTGTTGTCAAGAAGAATCCATGGCTGCCTGAATGCACACCTGTATATGTTCAGTATTTTGTCAAGTTCTTCATTATTGGCGTGACTGTGCTTGTAGTTGCTGTTCCAGAAGGACTTCCGCTGGCAGTTACCATCTCCCTTGCTTATTCTGTAAAAGTAAGTAGCAGTCTCAAAACTAATATATCTCAAAACTGCTAGGTGGGCAGGAGGTGCGGCAAGTAATGGGAGTTCAACCTGTTGTGCAACACTCAGGTCTCAAATCCGGGCTGTCAGCTTTCGATCTGACAAGATCTGTTTCTTTAAACACTGAGCCATTACACCCCTCCCCTCTTGGGATAATGTTATTTGCCAGTAAATCTTTTCAAAACAATGATATTTTGTTAGCAAATTAAACTAAACTATACTCATGTATTTGGTTGGGAGCTAGTCCTAAATATTTAAGGACAAAGAAGTGATAATGAAGATTTTGATTAGGAGAATAAGGCTGTATTACCTACTTACAGAGCTAAGATTTTTAATGGTATTATACAAGCTATATGCACTTGCTATTGCATTGAGCACACTTTGTACTCTATCATTGCCATTAACTGTTAGTGGAGCTCCTATAGAGATTTTTGGGAACAGGTGGGAGGAAGGACATTTTGTTTTGAATGCTGGAGTGTGTCTTGTTCTTTGATGCATTTTATTTAATAAAAAACTGCACAAAGGCCAATGTTTGCTTGATTTTTCTAATGTATTCAGATTCTTCTTCAAGGATTCTATAGCCCAAATCTCTGTTTTGTTCTCCAGGCTAGTTTTTTTTTCTTGTCCAAGACAATGCGGCATGAAAGATTGTGATATAGAAGATAATTCAGTATCAGGCCAGTTTCATAGCCCAGTTCTGGTCATAAAAAAAGTTTAAGGTTCACAGGACACTGTTTATGTCCATTTAACAATTTCACTCTGGGTTCTTTAGTTTACTTTGGGATAAATAGTAACGGTAACAGAATAACAGAATTGGAAGGAGGCCTGGAGGTCTTCTAGTTCAAATTTCTCTGCTCAGCAGACCCTACACCATTCTGGACAAACGGATGTCAAATCTTTTCTTAAACTCTCCAATGATGGAGCACTCACAACTTCTGAAGACAAGCCGTTTCATTGGTTAATTGTATAAAAGCAGCTTTTTAAAGAAGTATATTTTTAAAAATCAGTATTGTCGATACTGTATGTCTGTTTAACTTGATGGTTTTGATGTAAAGTTATAACCAAGTGAGTAGGGAAGAAAAAAGGGCAGCTGACACAATTCTCAACATTAAATAAAAAAATTAAGATATAGTTGCTTTGGACAGAATTATTTTGCTTACAGTGCAGGTTTCCTGACATGTATATTATATCCAAGGTTCGATCTGGATTTCTTTGGCTTACAGAAAAGTTGGCTGAGAGGCAATGTAGTCATGAAATATCTGAAGGGAGTGCAATTATTGCCCCAAAGAACAGGACCAGAACCACTGGGTTAAAATATCAGGGAAGGATATTCAGGATAGGTCCCAAGAGGAACTTCCAATCTGTATAAGCCGTTAGCCAATGATGCAGATAGCCTTGTAAAGTTTCATGCTGTTTTCCAATTATGCCTGATCCTGGATGGGAAAGCTTTGCTCATGGTCACTCATGCCTTAATTACCTCCTGAGTGAACCATTGCAATTCACTTTATATGGGGTTGCCTTTGAGCAGGCTCCAGAAGCTGTAGCTGTCACAGAATGCAGTGACCTAGGCAATTATATGTGCTTCTCAATCAGTGCATGTTACATCTCTGTTCTACAAGCTGCCTCAGATGCCAGTGTGCTTCCAGGTTCAATTCAAGATGTAAAGCCCTTCAAGGCATGGCCCCAGGTTATAGGAAGCATCTCTCTCCTATTAGGTCTAACCATCCATTAGATCTGGCATGAAAGGCACGCTGTGTCTCCTTTCTAACAGGGACGGCCATCTTTTCTATCTCTTGTGGAACATCACTTCCCCAGAAATTAGGTTGTCCCTGACCCTGCTGGCTTTCCATAAGTTTGAAAGAAATTGTTCTATGCTTAGGGATTCAGTTGAGTGGCAGAGCCTGTGAAATGCTTGCATTGATTTGTTGCTGGTTGTTTTGTTTTTTAACTTAACTTTTAACTGTTTTGTTTTTAACTGCTAATTATGTACATACAGTATTATTTCTAATGTTTTATATTGTTCTAAGGTGTTTCTAATTGCTCTGAATCATCCAGAGTCATGAATCAGAGATGGGTGGCCATATAAATTGAAATAACAAACAAATTTCTGCCACCAGAAATCTTCAAATAGAATCTGGATGATCATCTGTCAGAAATACTTTAGGACATTTCTTATTCTTGCCAACTTTGGACAAGACATTGGACTTCAACTCCCAGAATTCCCTATCCAAGCACTAAGCAGTTTGAATCAGTGACCTCTAAAGCCCTTCCAACTCTATGATATTATGAGGTGGTTGACAAGTTGTGGAAGGAAGCATATGATGTAGAGTCATTAAATATATTGTTGTTGTTGTTCTTATATTATTAATTTCAATGACTGCCTGTGCATATATACCTTTACACAAAGAGAGAGAGAGAAAAAAGCTCTGAAGGTACTTTGTGATCTGAGGCTTTTTTTTCTTTATAGAACAGCCTGCTTAATTAATAATATGCCAGCTGCTGTCTCTGTTCATTCTTGTACTTTATTTGATTCATCTTTGCTAAATAGTTTGACATAAGCAGGCTCTCAGGTCTGTGCAGCAAAACCTTTGAAATATTATTTGATCCCTGTACTGGTATCAACATTCTGTTAGCTCTAGAAATCCTAACTTTCCAATTCAATGAATCTAAAATTTATTGAGCTGGTAGCATGCAATCATGCTGAAGAGGGAGATGAAAAAGTCAACCCAGACTGCTTTAAAAATAGATTCCTTACTTGAAATTCAAAAGAAGAGAATTGAAAATAGAACTGACAATGCATTAGTGCCATTATGTAAAATTATGATGAGACTGTTTTGGTTGTGCACACAGAAAAAAAACACCCTAGACCTGGATAAAGTACAAAAAAGGAAACATAAAATGATGGGTTATCATCTGGGGTTTTCTCTAGATACTATCTAATGGAGATACATAAAATAAGGCACAATTGGCAATTTATGTTCCAGCAGATAAAGGATATGAAATTTGGAGATAGATTCGAAAAAACGATAGAGTCAATTTACTTGGTTCAGAAAGCTCATATAATAATTAATGGGGAATCTACAAACTCATTCAAAATAAGGAAAGGGGTATGGCAGGGATGTCCACTTTCACCTCTGCTCTTTAACTTGATTTTAGAAATTTTGTTGATAAGAATTAGATCTAACCGGGAAATGAAAGGGTTAAAAATCAAACAAGAAGAATACAAGGCCCAGGCATTTGCAGATGACCTTGTATTCTTCACAGAAGAACCAATAGAATCAGGACAAAACTAATAAAAGAGATAGAGAAATTTGGGGAAGTAGCCGGTTTAACAATCAACAAAGACAAAACTAAAATGATAACAAAAAATTTAACAGATAATCAGAAAATGAAATTAGTGGAAGAAACAGGCCTACAAATTACAAAGAAAGTTAAATATTTGGGCATCTGGCTTACAGCAAGATGCTCAACAATAAAAGAAGATAATTATATAAATTTAGTACAGCAAATAAAGACTTAGAAAAATGGGAGAAAATACAGCTATCTCTGCGGCTATTAAAATGAACATTTTAGCAAGATTACTTTTCTTTTTTCAAACGATCCCGGTAAAATTTGATAATTTTTTTTTCCGGATTTAAATAAAATGTCTAAGAAATTTGTTTGGGCAGGTAAAAAAGGGAGGATAAAATTAAGTGCATTGCAGGATAATAGAAGCAGAGGTGGAAATGGACTCCCTGCCTGGGAAACATATTACAAAGCAGCAGGATTATTGTGGATTAAAGATTGGGCCAATCTAAGAAATAAAAAAAAATTAACCTTAGAGGGACATGATCTGCAGGCAGGATTGCATGCCTTCATGTGGAACCCAGGAAGTAAGACCCAAGCTTACTTCCACATTTGGAGGATTGGGAAAGAATTTGGAAAAAAATTATACAATAATGAAATCGTTGGTATAAAGAGAATCAATACAAGATGTGTTATCGGTGGTATCTAGCCCCTTTGAGATTAGCTAAAATGTACCCCAATTTAAGCCCGAACTGTTGGAAATGCAAGCAGACAAAAGGCACCTTCTTCCACGTCTGGTGGCTTTGCCCAAAAATTAAGAAATATTGGATAAAAATACAAACATGGATAAAAGAAATGACAACCTTCCAAATAGAACTCAAAGCAGAAAATTTTCTTTTCTTTCTTTTTTTTTTTTTTTTGAAAATTTTATTTGGGTTTTCACAAAAAAAATCATAATACAAATATAACATCTTTTTTTGAAAATAGCATGGTCCCGGGTTTCACTTCTTCATACAGACACAAACTCAATTTCATGCTCACTTTTATGTTCTATTCCATATCTTATTACTGTTTTACATTTTCTACATAGTTTTTATCCTCTCTTAATTTTCTCAATTTTATTTTAATTATCTCATATCAATTCAAATCATTATATTTATACTTTTATCTGTCCTGTTTCAATTTCATATTTTCTTTTCTCATTACACAAGTTTTCTCCTGTAATTACTAATTGGAGTATGACACCTTTATGTCTTTTAATTTTATCCATTCAACTCTTAGTTAAGCTTCAATATATACCTTGAGGTTATAACATTATAATACATAACTTCCAATTGAATTCTGCTTGGTACATTCTTAAAATACACACTATATTCTTAAAAAGTGATTATAAATATATGTAATTAAAACACACATTCCATTCCAATTCAGTTCTATCATTAATATTCATTAAAGTCTTAACATCTTTAACATTTCTTTTCAATTAAGTATCATACTTCCTTGGGAACACTTATAAGTTTTCCATAATTAATTCCCCCCCCCATTTCTCTTCCCTTATATTTTATAAACATTAAATAATTAAAATGTTCCCATCGTTTCCTAATTCAATTCTTTAATTCATTTTATTTCATTTATTTATTAGCAAACATTTCACTAGATTACAATAACTATTTTATCCATCATTTTAATCATACGTTGTTTCATATTTTCTAAAATTATTTCTATTTCTATCTTATGTTCCTCTGCAGAATCCCTTTTTCAATTAAATTTTCACCCATTATCTCTAAATAGGCCCTTTTTCTCCATATCTTGTTTCTGTCCTTTATAACTTCTTTTCCTTTCCTTCTTCCCTCTCTTCTTCTCCCTCCCCTTTTTAGCCCCTTGTCTCTCTACTTCTACTTCTCTCTTCTGTATTCCCCTCTTCTGTTGCTTTCTAATATTATACTTATTTTTCAAGCTATTCTTCCTTTTCTTGGTCGTTTTTTCAAGTCTTAAACTTTTCATTCTCTTTCCCCCCTTTCATTTTTTCCCCCCACATAAAATTACTTGTTCATTAAAGATGGCTTCTTCTTTGTCCCAGTCTTCTTGTTCTGCAGGCATTTCTTGTTGCTTCTCATCATTCCAGATCTCCATTTCTAAGAATTGAAATTTGAAGCCAAAAGAACCTCTCCCTTCTTGTGCATCTTCTTTGTACTTTTTAAGTTCCATTTTCAGTTCATCTAGAAGTAGTGCCATTTTAAACACTTTTAAACAACCACCCGATTGATTTTAGTCATTCAAATGCAATAACCAAAAATCCAGGGATCACCAAATAATCCAAATACTCCCAAGCTATTTCTTCATGCTTCTTTTTTCCACTTTCTCTTCTTGGGGTTCTACTATTTTGTTGCCAAGTTTCAGTTAAAATGTATCTTTTAGAAGTCTTGTTAAGGTTTTACTGTAAATTCCTTTTAATTCCAGGCAGTTTCCTCCCTTTTTTTCAGATCCTGCCCTTTTATTTTTTTTCTCTCCTTTCCTGCTTTTAAAAGGTTTTAAATATCCAGAAATCTTTATTATCCCTTTGACATTTTATTTTCAGCTTAAATGCCTATTGATGTCAAAGTGGATTTTTTTTTCCAATTTCTTATTTAAATCTCTTAGCTGTCAGTATAGGGAAAGGGAGAGAAGAAGAAAAAACAAATCCTTTCCCTTTTTTCTCTCCTTTGCTGCTTCAAAGTCTTCTTTGGGAACAATGTTACTTTTTTTTTTAGTTTAAATTCCAGGGTACCTTAGTTCTTGCTTTTGCAGTTTAACTCAGTCAACCAAAACTTTCTCTTCTTATCTTCCTCCTGCACATTCTTTTCCGGTCAAGTTCTTCTTTGAGGTGGCCATTTCTGACCACCGCTGCAACTGCCTTTGGGAAAGGGAGTAATGGCCAGCTGAGGAGAGTTGTGGCTTTCTTCAACCCTGCTGGCAATCTCCCCCCTCTTCACCACCTCTACGGGGTGGCTTAGCCCCGAAACCAGCCAGCTCGCAGTGCTCCAGCGGCGAGCACAGATCAAAACCGCACACAATTGCAGTTTCGGTCTTTCCATAAAGAGGCTGAAACCGGAAGTCCAGCAGAAATTTTTCTGCTGGGAATAATAAAAGGAGACTTTTATTATTCCCAGTAGACCCAAAGGAGACACAAAAGAGATAAATATATTTAATTTTGCATATAATCACTGCAGACTAGCTCTTGTACAGTGTTGGAAAGGTGACCTCATGCCAACAGAGTTTAATAATCCAAAAAATCTATGATTGCGCTGAAATGGACAAACTTACTCTAAAATTAATAGAAAAGGAAGACTCAAAGTACTATACAGTCTGGGAAAACTGGTACAAATGGATGAATGGTAGAAATAAGTGAATAAATAAATAAAGAAGGAATAGTTTAAAGAGGTTAATATACAATAAATAATCAGGAATAGAAAATATGTTTTAGAACAATATTTGATATACAAGTACCGTCAAAATGATTTGCAATGTTTATAGTGTTTTTCATTTTAATGAGTTGTATTGTAATTTGTATTTATTCTTTTTTAATGTTTTACTGTTTAATAAAGGTTTTTTGAGAAAAAAAATAAGGCACAATATGGAAGATGTGGATAGAGATTTTTTTTTCTTTTTCTCTGGAAGGTTAGAATTCAGAGTTATTCTCTGATATGAATGCAAGGAGATACAATAAGAGGATATCCCTCTTTACATAATAGAGTTGCACTATTGAAATTGTTACCATCTGATCTAACATTCACGAATTTAGACTTTTAGAAAATGCATGACAGAAGCCTGGCAGTGGTTAATATTACTTTGCATGAAGTTCCATTTAAAGTGATCCATTTACTAATTATTACCTAATTTCACATTTTTATTCCTTAATGACTTGTTCTGCCCTCTTTGGTTACTATTCGCAAGCTTCTTCAGTTGTGCAGTATTCCCTTGGTAGAACCTTTTCATTGAATACATCTCTTTTCTTTTTCTTTCTATATTATGTTCATAATTTTATTAATATTTGTTGTGGGTTACTTAATTCCAGGGCATCGTGAGGGTAACCATTGGAGAAAGGTTATTAAATTAATAATGTTGGTAAAGGAACAATTTTCATTAGAAATTGCTAACATAAAATTAATACTCCAGTGAAGACTATTGTTTGCTGGAAAGAATAAAAAAGGCAACACATGATTATTTATTGACACTTTATGGCAATCAGTAGGTAGCCATGTTATGCCTTTCTTTTTACAATATTATAGAATTCTTGCTCTCATATTCTTGAAAAGTTTTAAAATCATCTTATTTATTTATTTGTTTGTTTGTTTATTTATTTATTTATATTTATTAAATTTATGTGCTGCCCATGTCACTGTCAAGTGGCTCTTGGCGTATATGTGATTAATTTCACAGTTTCAGGAAGTGAATGCCAATGAAGTTGTGTACTTCAACATATATAAGGGTTATCAATAATAAGTATAATTTAACAAATATTAATAATTTTAATGTATATAAAGTTATTTTCTTATACTCATATTTTATAAAAAAGTTAAATAACATTATTTTTAAACAACAATGCATTCCATAAGAATAAAATATTTATTTATATGTTTTCCCTTTCAGAAAATGATGAAAGATAACAACCTGGTCCGTCACTTAGATGCGTGTGAGACTATGGGAAATGCTACAGCCATCTGCTCTGATAAAACAGGGACATTAACAACTAACCGAATGACAGTAGTACAAGCCTATGTTGGAGATGTCCATTACAAAGAGATCCCTGACCCAGATTCTATTCCAGCCAAAATAATGGATTTGCTGGTTAATGCAATTGCCATCAACAGTGCTTACACTACAAAGATTCTGGTGAGTTGATCATATTCAAAAACAAAAAGCTATAAGAAAAGACATGAATGTTGGCTTGGGAAACTCTAGTTTCTTAGAAATTTCACTTGTTGTTTTTTTTAAATGGCAGGGTGATGTAATAATCAATAGCTTGACAAAAAGGCATTGATATGTCCTCTCTTTTGTGTATATCTATGTCTCTGTCTCTGTACCAATAAATATCATATGTATTTTGTAATTTCCAAGCAGATAAGCCTCACTGTATTTAGTGTCTATTTTTTCTGAGCAAGTACAAGAATTAATTTTTGAATTAAAAAAGAATTTCAAAAGATGGAAGAAGTTGCCTTATGTATTTTTGCCTCTTGAACACAATCCAGACATTTTTATTTCAGGACCAAAGCTGCTTAGAGATCACAACAGCAATAATAATATAATTGTCAACCCTAAGCCCAGAGACAATTAAGTTCAATCCTTTTTTTTGCTTGCATGTAATGGACAGAATCTTGTCAGACTGAAGTTATAACCTTCTAACCTACTAGATATACCTCAAACCTCTTTTCCTTCTCCCTCATCCATCTCAGGATTGTTCAGTCTCTTAATCTGGGCCTCTGTTTGGGAAAGCTTTGGAAAAGTTCTTTGGGAAAACGCTTTCCCACTGCTCCTCAATGTGCAGATTCTATCACAATGGTATTTATACTGAACTTTCAGTTATCTTGCATGACTTGTACTATTCACTAAAGTGATATCCATTTTTCCCAGAAGTTCCCTGTAGTATATATACTATTTTATTTTTGATTTTCCTCCTCACAATAATAATTGCATGGAGGAGATTGCACTGAAAGAGAGGGGTGATTTAACATGCATCTAAACCTGATCACTGTAACACAGTACCTACAATATTGATGGGAACCCTGAGAATTACATTAATATTATTCCACTTAGGGCAGATATTCAAACGGAGCATGAAAGACAGTGGCCTGCCTAACATTAGGAAACATTAGGATGACATCATAGAAACCCATATCCAATTAGATTTGGCTAGATGATATTGACAGCAAGGGCAAAGAATTCCTTCTATTGTTGGAATGATATTGTGAGACAAAAGAATATGTCCCTCTTGCCAAGTGTCCCTGTCAATTTCATTACAGGGAGAATTGCCTTGAAAGATTTTTGTCCCAAGTGAAATTCAATATCATGTAAATTTTGCACAACCAATTAGGTAAAATGTCTTTGAGAACAGATTTGAAGCATGGTTCAGTGGATATTCCATATACACTGTGCACCAGTTAATTAATAAAATAAAGTGATGGGCAGAGGGGGGATGCAAAATGAGCAGAAAATGGGTCATTTGTCAACAACTGTAGGATTATAGCCTTATTTGTATTATATCGCCTGTTATATTAAATATCATGCAAGCATTATATTTGGATGAAATAGATTCTTCACTGGATATTAACTTTAACTTTAGAATGAAGTGTCAATCTATACTGACAACTGTCTGGTTTTGCCAGAATGAAAATATTATTTTCAAGCATGCTGAAATGCTGCTCTTTATGAAGAAGCAATTTATTATTTGGTTTGTTATATTTGTCTCCTGAGGGACTTATCTTGAATTCTCCCTTTGTTTTATTCATACAACAGCAGTCCTATGAGATAGGCTGGGCTGAGGTAGGTTGGCTGAGGGAAATTAACCCAATTAATTTCCTGTTAGCGTCTATGTTGGACTTGAATCTGGGTGTACCAGAACCTAAACCTACCCCTTAATCACCATACCGCACAAGCTTTCATTGTGAAAGATGACTTGAATCAAATGAAAGATTACTGATTAAGGCTAGTGCAGAAGTAGGTGAACTAGATGAGCTTCTCTTGCTGTGGGGCAAGGGGTTCCAAACAGCATATCTCTACTTCTGCAGAGACTCTGGAAAACAATTGGGATGGCAGATGCCACCTCAATACTCTGTTACTACACTTTGAGATCTCCTTTTGGTGCCAGTCTGCCATTAATTCTGGAGGCCAGTGGGAGGGGAGTATGCTTTGGTGAAATGAAAGTTCACCATTCCTTTCCAAGGTCAACTGCTTGAGAATGGAGAACAGCTGCATTCCTCAGCAGACCATTCTAAAAACACCTCTTTTAAATTTGATTGGAGACACGGGGACCAACTATGGGCGGCACCTTCAGGAAGGAAAAGTTTCACTTGGGATTTCGGTACACAAATTTCAGCTCTGACTTTGCACTACTGTATTTCACTTGGCTTCTAGTAAACTATACCTTTCTCAACCCAAGAAAAATGTTATACCACCATTGTTGTGTGTTGTTCTTGTTCTTTGTGTTGTACAATTGTTTTAAGTTGCTTTGTCCCAATTTCAAATATACTACAATAATTACAACTATACAAAGAATGAATAATAATACCTACTGTTGAATACCAATAGTAAATTGGTGCTGTTAGTGTAAAACATTCTTTATTACTACTATTGTGAGTCCAAAGAGTCTATTTTGCATCAATAGCAATCTCTAAAACTCAGTGCCTTTTTATTGTTACAAGCATTTCTGTGCATATACTTTTTTCATTCTAATAGTTTGCTTCTATTTATCACTCATGGTCCTTTCCCCTTTATCGTTCTACTAAACATAATTTTCATACTTAGCCACAGTATTGCCAAAACAAAGAAAGGCGTGCTATGTGATATCATGAGATAAACTGTCTGTTCATGTTTACTTCATGATGTGGCACATAAGAGGCAGAATTTAGGTTGCCTGTCTGCCTCCTCTGAATGTACTTGACATGCTTTTAGAAAATCCCCATGGGATTTTAAGGGGGTGTAGAGTTGAAATCAACTTGTTGCCACATAGTAAAAATCAATCATCTTAGCCCCTCACATCCACCTTTCTGCATGTTGTTGAAAATGGTTTCCTTCTAAGAGTACATTCGGGATTTTAATAAGTTATTTGGTTGGGCATGTGGAGGTATTATTCCTTCCTTTACTGGTAATAATCTTTAGTCTCTTTAAGTGTAATCTTCATTCCTTCTAAATCCTTCTGATTCCCTCCAGCGTCAAATCATCTAAGATGCATACTAATGTTTTTTTTAAACACAATTTGAAACAAAAGTAATCTCCTATGGAAATGATTCTTACAATTAATTCCAAAATCTTATTTCAAATCCAACTGGATCCTTAGTCCATTTGTAATTTTCCAAAATCCAAATTCCAAAAAATCTCAAAGTCAATGTTCTAACCACCTTTTGCTGTTTATTTCAAAAGAATTTTAAGTCTTTAAAGATATATTTGAGACGTCTTTGGCTAAGGTTTGAAGAAAACTCACCCAATGCTATAAATCTTGTCGATCCAAAGGTTCCTAATAGCTAAAAAGCAGCTAAGAAGGAATTGATTAGAAAAGAAAGAATGCAAACTCAGTGTCATGTCCCAGAGATGTAAACCTGCTGGAGACCATTGCTCCTCTCGTGAGCAACTTCCACTGCAGTCTTTAATTTGCCACTTCTTCCTCACACCAATATAGATGTCCCTTATTCATTGAGATGGGATATACTGTAGGAAAATCATTTCTTTATAATTTAAGAAAAAGTGACAAGTTAAACTTGTATGTACTTGTTATAATGAAGGGACAAGTCATCTCTCTCTCTCTCTTTCTCTCTCTGTATGTATATATGTGTGTGTGTGTATTTGTGTGTCTTTTTCTTTAATATATTCTTATTTCTCTTCTCTCTTCTCTTTTTTCTTCACTTTCTCTTTTTTCTTTTCTTTTCTCTAGTTTGTATTCATTTTTTTATTTTTTTAATTGTAATTTAAATTATACATAGAAATATAATTTATGTGTATGTATGTGTTAGCGTATATGTATTAAACCATGACAAGTTATGATTGAGTTGGGAAGTACAAGCAAAGTGAAAATAAACAAATGATTAAAGTGTGCAAATTCAGAGGTGTCATTGATCGACTGTTTTCTGATTAATTTCTTGTCCATGAATTGTGGTGGAGAGTGAAGACATGTTATAGTGTAATGATTATTTAATTGTGGATTTTTTGGGGGGAAATATGACAAAAATGCATAATCAAATACTTGCCAGAAATCTGCAGCTGAGACAACTGCAAAATGAAATATTCAAGACAGATAAGCAACTTGACAACTTCCCTGGTATTTTTGCATTACTAATATATTATCTGCCTCTGAAATTATGTAGTAAGAGGAAGCTGCCAAGAAAACAAATAGTAACAGCCACTGTTAATAAGAAAGGAATAAGAAGGACTTTTATAGAATTTGTTGCCAAGTCTTATTTTTAAAGTACTATTAGCATTAGGAACCACAATATAACTGGTTAATTTTTCATGTATGTGTTTTGAAGGATAACTGTTAAATTGAAAAACTTTTTACTTGAAACAATATTTTAAATCATTTGAGTGCATCCTCTAAATGTATTGTTAGTTAATTCGGTAATCAGTAAATTCTCAAGTGAATTACATAGTACTATGTATGTCTCTGGGGTAACCCTGTTTAGTTGGACAAATATGGCTTTCGCGGTTTCTCAGAAAAATCTGTTCTTTGATTTGAAAAGTGAGAAATGCCTGTTGAGTTCTTTCAAGTGTAGATTTGCCACTTTGTGAAACCAAATAGCCCATCCTGGATTAAAAAGATGAAACCAAAAGCAGTGTTTAATAATGCAATTAAACCAATACAGTTATAAAAATTAAAATGAGTACCAATGAAAAATAATCTCAAAAGCCTTTTATCTGAATACAGGACACTGTAAATCAAAAAGTGTTGCTTCATATCTGAGATAAAAATTGGAGATTTAAAGAGGCACTTTTTCTTCTGTTATTTAATCACAAATAATAAAAAGAGGCACTTAAGTGCATGCACAGCATTTTCAATCCCAACAATATAGCTTTTCTTCTCTTTTTTCCTTCTCTTTTCTGAGTTTGTTATGGCTCATTCCATCTGCCTTTGATCTCCTCTTTCCTTCCTTCCTCCCTCCCTCCTTCATTTTTTAAATGTTTTATTA